ACAACAAAAGAAACTCGCGAAAGTGCAAAATGCCCATCCCAAACTGAACAACACCTGGTTTTTTGGTTGTTTTCCCAGCAGCTCAATTTATGAAAATCGGTTTACTCTACTCTCATGATGCCGCCCAGGAGATCCGTTATTATGGGGAGGCGCAAAAAGCAGCCCAGTGTGCACGGCGCTTCCCTTCGCTTCGAATCGGTTTGATGTAGCACGTCTGTGTCAAATCGATTAGGTCCTGGTGCAAGTGCCGCGCACGTGACGTCGCCGGTGACGCCGCCTTTCGGAATCTGCTGACCGACACCCGCAGATGAGGCGTGACAGTACGACTGATCAAATATGGAATCGGTTTTTATTATTAAAATTCAATAAGTGACACTGTGTACATGTAATCCGAAACAACTAGTAACAACAATCAGACTAAATTGTGATTTTCATCACGTTTCCGTAATTGCACAACACATTCGTATTTTGGTGGTGACACGGTCAAACCAAGAATGCGTTGTGTCGACAGACCACTTGTGCCATCCCCATCATTAGGCGGCCGAAACTCAAATCGCTTCAGTAAATTGCTGAATATCAAAAATAGTTCAGCCCTTGCCAACGATTCTCCCAGACATTGGCGTTTTCCGACGGAAAATGGCAAGAATTCGTCGATTCGTCGCAGTTTCCCGTCGTCGGTGAGGAACCGTTCGGGGCGAAACGTTTTCGGCTCGGGAAATATGGTTTCGTCGTACATAAGAATAGATATCTGGGGAATGACAAGGGTTTTCTCGGGGAAATGATAGCCGTCGATGTTCACGTCCTCGCTGACTGTACGGAGTAGATTGATCGGCAGGATATTGGCGATGCGTTGAATTTCCTGAAAGAAAAGCTGATAAAGGGGGTTCAATTTTTCAGGAACAGTCTCTATCAGGGGGTTGTGAAGGGAATTTCTTCAATGAGGCCCCCTAGATTCTTCTCAATTACGACTACGAGCCTTTGTAAGTGAAGAGAGGAGAATAGATCAACCAATAATGAAATGTAGGAAAACGGCGACATTACCTGAAAAAGGGAGAGGGGCCAAATAAGACACCCCTGTTGAGACGAAGTAAGCCTAGCACTCGACTAAGTGGATTCTAGCGGTTATGCACAGTGTATCGACAATTTGAAATTAAGACAATTTGAAATTAAGGAAGAATTTACTCTAGTAAACAGTGAATATGTGTCTTATCGATTTTTCAGGCTACGCCATGCATGTGGACAGAAGTATCTGAATGCATAGTCAGGCTCCATACTACGGTTTCAAGATTAGCACATGTCCGTTGATCCTAGCTGGCTTCAAGAAGAATGCTTTGAATTTCATTTGGTTCATCACCCTTTCCTACTACATGCACCCGTTTACCCAACTCTGCACAAACTTGGAAAGACCATTCGGTTGCGATTCTAGGTCTTTCTCCTGATCAAGGTCTAATCAGAGACCGCAGGCGGCCAGAGTCGCCAAGAGATGTAGTATCCACCGAATTCAAGCCTTGGTTGAAGAAGGGTAATTGAGGGATTGCCGAGCGTCTCCTCCCTCCCCCTATCCACGACTCCCTTCCCAGCCGCGTCGGCGTCAGTTGAATTACTGAAAACTATTAAATGCTCATTTTCATCGTTATTTTATGAACAACTGAGTAAGTCAATAGCGGCACATCGCTTTGCAAATATTTTTCCCATGAAAAGGTGGAAGGAATTCAGCGGCTAATGTGAAGGGACCAATCAAGTCGAACTTCTGTGAATTCAGCTGACTCTCTAATTTCAGAGGATGACGAGTTCGCAGTTTAATCACGAATACTGACAAAATTTAACAAATTTGCACTTTTTTTACAGTTAGAAATTTGCTCGTTTCAACGATGACGGCTTTGGTGAGATCCAGTTTCTCTTCAGCTTCTGTTTCACACACCTTCTATCGGTTCTATCATCATACATCGTGATCAGGGCAGTCCTGCCGTTGAGCGAAATTCTCCCATGATACGAGCGGCCAAGTACGACCTTCTCATTTGTGATCCCCCCAATTAAGACGTGCCCTGATCGTGATTAGTAATGCAATTTGTTCATCAGCCAATAAAGTGCGCCATGCACTCGACTCTTTCTGAAACCATGTATTATAGATGTCTGCCTGGCTCCCTCTTCTTCACAATGAAACCAGAGGGTCAGGCAACGAACTGGCGGTATTACACCTCACTCTGCCGCGACATCAGTGATATATACCCCTTCCCACAGGGATGTGAGGCCTCATTTCTCTATGAGCACTCCAGCATGACGGTAT